AAAGTAACTGATTGGAAATGAACTGAATATAGAAACACTGTAATTTTTAAAACTGCTTCCTCTTAACCAGAAACTGTTATTATTAGTATGCATTTTTTCAACAACTTTTCTTTAGGGAATATTTATATACAAGGTCTACTCTTCTCTGTACACTCTTTTTATTCTTCTTCCTCAACTACATAATTTGAGACTTTTGGCTAACTGAAATGGGTTGTTGGTAGCAAAGTTCTTCTATTCCTTTATTATCAAAACTAGAGGCCCAGTGCACGAAATTCGTGCATGGGGCCGGGAGTATGTGTCCCTCAGCCCAGCCTGCACCCTCTCCGATCTGGGACCCCTTGAGGGATGTCCAACTGCCCACTGGGATCTGGCCTAAACAGGCAGTCAGACATCCTTCTCACAATCCAGGATGGCTGGCTCCCAACCGCCCACCTGCAAGCCATCCTGATCACCCCCTAACTACTCCCCTGCCAGCCTGATTGACACCTAACTGCTCCCCTGCTGACCCAATTGCCCCTAACTGCCCTCCCTTACTAGCCTGGTCTCCCCTAACTGCACTCCCCTTCAGGCCTGATCACCCACAACTGCCCTCTCCTGCTGGCTATCTTGTGGTGGCCATCTTTGACCACATGGGGGTGGTCATCTTGTGTGTTGGAGTGATGGTCAATTTGCATATTACCTCATTATTATATAGGATATGTGACATATTTCTGTTTGAATGTCTCTTGCCACTTCAGGCAATCTTAATATCTTATTCTTAGAAAAAGACAATACTGTGTATTCCAAGTTCTAGTTCAATTTTCTCTTCCTAGCAGCATAGGAAAGCTGCATTTTCCAGCTTTCTCTCTGACTAGATTAGTACTCATAGCTGGTTTGGGGCAATGAATTAATATCAAGTGAGAATAATAAGTGTAATATTTAGGCTGAAGCAAAGAATAGCAGGAAGCCACACATTTCAGATGGCAAAGCTACAGAAAAGTAATCCCCATATGCTGGACATGTAGCATAAAAACAAATGTTTTGTTATATGTAGCTACTGAAATATTGGGGTTCTTTGTTAGTATAAGATAGCTTATCTGATTCTGAGTAATACATATGATTATTATAATTCTACCAGGTTCCGGAATTCAGTGTTTGATGTTCCATATATTAAAAATGGACTCTATTAAGCACTTTTTATCCAACTGTCTCCTTGTGCTGAAGCAATTCCAAGGGCTACACATGCCCTACATTTTCATCTATTGCCTGTAAAAACCTTGTTAAAGGGATGATTCGTAGTCCTCCTTGGCTGGAGAAAATCAGAGCCTACAAGGGTAAAAGAGGAGTTAAAGAGAAATAAAAATTAATGGTTCTTAAACTTCTTATGCATTAGAATCACCTGGGAACTTAATTTCTAGTGCAAATCTGCCCCACTCTAGAGATTATCATTTAGTTAATCTTTCATGGGGTGAATAAATATGCATTTCAGTATAAGCCCAAAATGGATCTGATGTGGATGCATAATGGAATACACTTTAAGAAGCCTTGGACCAGACTCAAATAAAGCATTTATTCTCTTATAATGTGATTAATAATATTTTAAGAAGGGGGAAGTTTGAAAGACTTCTCAGAAGTAGAAGTGTGACCCATGGAATACCTTATCTAAATTATCAAGCACATAATATTAAATTTTCACTTCTAGATAATCTCCAGTAACTAATAAATCAGCCCTTCTGAGAGAGAGGCTTGCCCTGGGGTCTTCATTGTAAGATACCCCCAAATGATTCTTAGACACATGAAAGTTTGAAACCATTGCCAAAGGGATTATTTGTCCTTCTGTGCATAATTTTATGATTAGTCCAATTTATTATTCCTGAGTTTGGCATGAACATTAGTTCAGGGACATTAGTTTTATCAACTTCTTCAACTCTTCACACTGGAAAAGGATATATTATTACTATAGTTTTTTCTAGTTGTAAGAGAAGATAACTGAAAGTCACAGGGTAAAACACAGCTGCTAAGATATTAAATTTGCTTTTCAAGAAAAATGGTGAACATATTTTTATTTTCCCTTAAGAGAAGTACAAATTATTTATTTTGGGATAAAAGTTATATAGCATGATCATAGATCCTGGAAGATACACACACACACACACACACAAGTGACTCTACTTTTAAATTGCTTAAACAAATGTTACAATCTTTAAAAATTGAATTATATAAAACCTAATATGACAGGGCCAGATAACACATCCGAAAATTAATATGACATTTTGTGTGTGGGTTTACATTAACTGCCATTTTGATCTGAATGCATAATAGTTAAGATTAACTAGTTCTAATTAGGTGACTTTGTAATAGAAATACTTCCATTTGAATCTTACAGGAATAATTCTAGAATTAGCACCGGATGAGGTGTAATATGCTTAGATTAGAAGAGCAACCCTGTCACTAATAGGCTGTCATTAGAAAAATCACTTAACTTGGATAATAAGTTCCTGTTCTGTACTGCTTTTGTGCATTTTGTTAGAGTAAAAAAATAGTGATGTATATAAAATCAATTTTTAAGCCATAAATTATCATGCAAAGGTAAGTTTATGCAGCCATGAAGGTGTTTTTCCTAGGGGTAAAGGCCAATACTTACTGAGCAATTACAATGTGCCAGGTACTGTGCTAAGCACTTTCATGCATTATATTTTAATGCCCACAAATCCCAGTGAGGTTAACAATATTATCTTCTTTATAACTAGCTGGAGATTAAGGCCCAGATAGCCCATGGTCAAACTGTTAGGAGAGAAGCAGAACTCACATTCATCTCTACTTGACTGAAAACTTGTGCTCCTAAATAGGTAATATTTCTATGTAAATACTATCCATTTAATTTACAATCCTATTTCAATTATGAATATACATGACCAATGAGGAAATTTTATTTTATTACCATTTGCCTCACTGAAATATATGGCACTTAATATTCCATTCAATTGTAGAATGTTGGGTCAGGTACTAATAACATAACCTTCTGGCCTTTGTTTTTGCAATAAAAGTATGGTCTATTATCTTTTTGATCCCTGTATAGTTAATGCCAAAAAGCATGACTTTATACTGCTTACACTGTTCTTATACTGAGAACACCACAATTATCTCACTACTTGGTCATAAGAGCTCATGTTTCATTTTCATACCTCTGTCAAGAGTCCTTTCATTTATTTTTCTTCACTAAAAAATAATCCTATATAATAAAAGCATAGTATGCAAATTGTCCCTTCGACCAGAAGTTCATCCAGGAGTTCGACCAGGGGGCAGGGCCAGCCAGGGGAAGGGAGGGAGGCCCTGGCCAGCAGCCGGCAGCTGGTAAGGACTCTACCAGTGCACAGATTTTGTGTACTGGGTCTCTAGTTCAGGAATAAGACTGATTATGGATAAAAACATTCTCTTCCTTCTCAAGCTATGGAGTGACTTTCATTACCCACTATTACCAGATTTGCAGAGAAACTGCTGCCTTCCAAGTGAAGATCCTTGAACACACATCAAATATGGATTAATCTCTTCAAGAAGGAATACAGCATAAAACATGGATGTGCTTCAGTCATTTCCTGCTGGATATTTAGGTAGAGTGACCTGTCATTTTTCATTAGAAGTTCCATGATTAGTAACATTTACTCTGGAGGGTCCTTATTATTTCATCTTTTTTGTTTGTTTGTTTGTTTGTTTGTTTTAACAGGAAAAGGACCTAACAGTTTGTTTGTTTCATCAGAGAAGGGATGTGCTTTTCTCTCTAAGAGAAGTACAGAGATAAAACTCGCGGGTTTTTTCTCCACTCCTCATTCACAATGAGAGATTGGGAAAGCCTGACACTTATTGGGCCATAGCTCACTAGTAGCTTAGACTAATATATCGATGGCTCCTGTGTGGCATAGTTTTAGCTCTTTCTAGTCTGTTTCCATTCAGGAGGGGTAGATTGTGCTTCTAATTTCCTTACGGTAGACCCACCAGACAGGAAACCTCTACAGAGTGAATGGAAGGCACACTATTTTCAGAGGACTGTTAGGTTAGATCAGTCCTATTGTGAGGTTTTAGATATTTTCAATTTAGGAAGGGAATAAACATCTCTTATTATTTGCTTCTCTTTTCTCTTATCTAGGATTGCCAAGGACATTTGAATCTGCATTTGGACTTACATTCTGTGGGTGGATATTGTAGTTCTGAATGTACAAACTAGTGGACTTCAGGCTGAATATGTGTTTGTGTATTTTGCTTTCTTTTTCTTTTTTTTTAAGTTTAAACCATCTCATAAATAAAAAAGTATATAAAATCTGAATTTTTAGATTTTTCTTAATAACAACTATGTGCCAACAATGTGGCTTAATCAATGACAAAATGAAGATGGAGCTTAGTAGAGGCCACTCCCTTTTTAAAGAAACAAATACTCTTCAATTACCTATATACCCAATAATCTATATTATCTCCCTTTCTGGCAGGTCAACTACTATATACCTCCTACAAGTGTTTTAAAGTGTTTAGAGTGAATAAGCACCTAACTGTACCTATGTTTCTCTATATATGGGCCCTTCCTGGAGAGTATGTATATTATGCTTATATATAGCCCCCTTTTTTCTTTTTCTTACCTTCTGATTCTTGTAGGCACTTAAAAGTTGATGATCCCTTCTTAGACTCCTGAATGGGAAGAAGGGATTCATGCACAAAACTCTACACTAAAACCCTAACAATACTGAATTTTTCTGCTATCAGTTCTAAAAATATGAGATTTTTGTGTAAACTTCTATTTCATTTGAAACATTTTCTCACTTTATTTTGGTCCTTTCTCAGATATCTCCTAATATTTACTAGAAAGAAACTGAAGATATATCTCAGCTTTCCTAACATCTAAACCAAAACTTGATTTCCTGAAATGGAATAAATACTCTTCACATATGAATTAGAAAGCCATAAAAAGTAGAGAAGAGAGAAAGAAGGGTAAAAATTTCTTAGTACAAATGAAATCACATAAAAATATAACTTTATTGATGCTAACAACTTTAGGCAGTTTAGAGAACACTAGTTTACAGTGAGACAGAGAACACCATGCATCCCTGTGTGGGTATGTTTGGTTCTCCCAGGGAAAATGTGTTGTAGGTTTTCTGTTGCCCTTAGTCCTACAGCTTCCACTAGAATAAACTCCTTTCCATAATGTTCCTTTGGATATATATACCTTGTAAGTGTCATGGCCCACGTACACCTGACTAACTCATAACATGAGAGGTTGATCAACAAGCTCAAAGAAAACATTTAAATTCTTTGCTCATTTTTGAACCATTGGGGAAGACAGGGGTGACTTTAGGTGACTTGCATATACTGACCTTCTAGGGGCCAAGAAGAGTGTGCTCTTCTGAGGCCATTAGAGGCAATAATTCTGGATGCAGGTTCTTCAGGTCTTTTGTCTCCTAGAAATAAATAGTTTATAAAATCAATAAAGGGGGAAGACAATCTGCTTGTCCATTAATTGATAAAAATGTCAATTATTCCCATGGTTTCATGATACAAAAAGAGCTGGTAGAGGCAACAGCTACCACCCACCACATAGTAATTATAAGATATAAAAGTCATTGTTATTAGACAAATCCGTGAAATGGTGAAGAGCAAGGGCTGAGATCTGGGGAACAGGGGTTTCCAATCTGATACCATTTTGTATCCATTGAGTTTCTGACTCTTGGGGAGCAGGCTTACAGAGGTGTGTCTCCCATTGTGGCTGTGTGTGGATCTCTGCCCGGCTCTTGCTCCGAAGTTGACTCTCTCCTTCACAGTAGGTGACACAGCAGCGACAGGCTGCAGAAGGTTTTCCTCTGTGTTTAGACATTGTGCCCGAGGCAGGAGAGGCACCGGAAGCCCTCCCTGAGCTCTGGAGTTCTGGGGGCTCTTTCAAACGACTTCTCCGCCTTTGAACATGGTCCAGACTGATGTCAGACTGAGAAGAACAGCTCTCATTCCAGCCAGAGCTGGCACTCAGACTTCTCAGGGGAAGAGCTAACCGCAATGCCTTCCAGAATTTAGAGCCAGAATGTTTGGATTTTTCTCCTTTCCAGCTCACAAAAGACACAGACTCCTTCAGCTGTAGGATGCCTGGGTGTGGATGCTCAAGGGGACGATACTCAACCACAATGAGCTTGGTGGCAATGGAGTTCTGGCACATGACACCCAGTTTAAATTCCAGCATGCTGATGCTCTTTTCTGTCACATAGTCTGGGCTCAGGACAACAATCATCCTTCGGCTCCTCTGAATGAAGTCAAAGACTGCTTCCACCGTATCTACAGGAAAATGGAAGGATAGGACAATGCCCAGTGAAAACATACACAGATTTCAGCTCATCATTGTCTCTCCTACAAAGGACAGGCAACGAATAAATCTTCAAAGATGAGAAATTAACCACTTCTGAAACTAGCAACTCATTTCAGCTCTGTTTGTAAAATATTTCCTGGTTTGAAATATTCTTCTCTATCACTTTTATCTGGTGGCACTAGATCAACATCCTTAAATATTTGAAATATTGCAGCTATTGTGATCTCATTGTATTTTATTCTCATATCTAGGTTAAATAACTTCAGGATTTTTACCTTATTACTCATTTGACATGGCATCAAGTCTGTTCCCTACTTTTAGCATTTGCCTGTGTATAATATTCAGTTTATGTATGTGTTTCTTAAGAATAATATCTTGAACAGGACTGAGCACAATGCTCCAGACATAGTCTGATCCTTAAAGAGCAAAGGGACTTACCATCTTCTAAGATCCACACAGTTATATATCTCGATACTTAATATTTTTTGGATACAACATCAGAGAGTTTATAGTACTGACCTTGTTGTCAATCCAAATTCCTTTTTTAAAATTTGTTTGTGTGTGTGTGTGTGTGTGGTTTAACAATAACTTAAACAGGCAAGAGCATTTAAAATAGGTAAGAATCAGTCAGTTAATTAAGACTTCTGGCAAAGCATTCAATTCTAATAGTTACTGAGGTGGATTTGAATAGATCCCAATGGGAAAGTTCTTGAGATAAAAGCAGTGCTTAACTGTTAGATTTAAGAGCTTAAACAATGTTATTTTCTGAAGGAAAAGAATTCCAAATGTATAAATCACAGCCATTGAAACGCTGAAAACAGCTACTATAGACATACTATGAGGTTGAGTACATATACTTTAGGGGCCAGTGGTGAAATAGTCATGGAGAGACATTTTAGCTTGTGAGGACAAACTGAAAGTGTGCAGTGAAATTGATCATGATGAATTTGATGGGAATGAAGGAACTATGTTCCTTACCAGATTAGTTCTTTTCAATTAGTGAATTTAACATGACTTTGAAGGGAAATTAGAAGAGCGATTTTTAAGAACTTTGAACTGGATTTATAAAGGGAACAGTGTTTTGAGAATTCTTGTTTCAATCTTGTGAGAAAAATCTATCACTTATCTTCAAAGGCCATGTGCACGTGCAAGCATGTGTAAATTCTTTTGTTCTGTCGAGTTCTGCTCAGAATCTTATGAAGCCTGCCTTTCATAAACCCGAGACTGTGAGAATAGGATGTCTACTGCTTCTTCCGTCTCTTGATAAAAACGATATACCCTTAAAACAAAATGGGTAGTTTTTCATCACAAAGAACTTGTGATGTGTGTGTGTGTGTGTGTGTGTATGTGTGTGTTTTACACTTCAAAGTAGCCCCTGGGAATCCAACTGTTGAAAACAAAACAGTATCATAGATCCTCTAAAAAAGAGAGAATGTGGCTTTTAAAAAAATTATCAATATTACCTGAAAAGTGGGGGGTTTCCATTTGAAAGAGGGAAATGCTAAAGAAATAGATACGTATGGTTAAATTCCAGATTTTGATGAGTGGATAAAAGGAGATGCTTCTCAGGTGGGGTGGGGTATCTGTATCTAGGGGTCTTCACAAGGTACTCTGAAAGAAGCTATATCCTTTATGGCATGTTTTAAAGTCTTACAGATTGTCAATATTCCCCATCTGAGGATGCAAATTATTTTTATTTTAATGCTGAAGATTATTGGAGAGGAAGTTGCAAATTAGGTCTTTATCTTGTTTGGCTCAGAAAAATGAGGTGTGGCTGTAGGATGATGAGATTGGCTTTTTGTGTGATAGTAAATTGGTTTTCAAATCATTTTTCTGGACTAAAATTCTTCAAGGAAGAAGATTCCTGCCGTTAAAATTTATAGCATCTCTGAAATTCCCCTTCAATTAAACTAGGCCTGAAATTTTCTCCTTTGGCTAGGTTATTGGTGTATGAAACAGTAAGAAGCTTCTCTCTCTCTCTCTCTTAAAACTTGAAATGTAATGAAATATGGGGGGCCACCTAATTTGGAAGATAGATCTGAATTTAAATATTGATCTCTCCAATTATCTGTTTTATCTTAATATCTTTAATTATGAATTTATCCATCTATAAAATATATAAAGTAAGACCAAATTTGGAAGGTTGTTAAACAAATTAGAGATACCTAAAGGTAAATGTCTAGCAAAAACAATCATCTTAGTATGTGAATTTATAAATTATAAGTTTTAAAAATTCTTTCTTTTCAGTTCAAAATACATGTGGATAAAGAATGTAATTGAAACACTCTCCTAGACCCATGGTTGGCAAACTGCAGCTCTCAAGCCACATGCGGCTCTTTGGCCCCTTGAGTGTGGCTCTTCCTAAGCATTAGGAGTTCCCTAATTAAGCTAATAACAATGTGCCTATGTATATAGTTTAAGTTTAAAAAATTTGGCTCTGAAAAGAAATTTCAGTCGTTGTACTGTTGATATTTGGTTCTGTTGACTAATGAGTTTGACAACCACTGCACTAGGTGATCACTCTATAAATGTGAAATGATAAATTGCATTTCTCTAAAATGACATTTTTATAAAGCTGTCCAGCCCTAAAAAAAAAAAAAATTCCTG